ACACATTACTATTTATAATTTTGCATTATTTTTTATGTCCACGTGGGCAAATATATATGTTTAAAATACGGTATTAAATAGTCTGGGGAGGTAATAGGTCCTCATAAAAGTTTAGTATCGCAACAACAAATTCGACCAAAGTTGGAGTATTTTTCAGACCCTTATCCCTATACTTTACTTAATCAAACTTCACCACTAGGGGTGTCAATAGGCGGGTTGGGTTGAAATTGAAGATATTAAAATGAATTGAAATAGAAATCGGGTTGGGTCTTAACCCACCCAAGTTTACTTTGGGCTCAAATGGGTTGGGTTCAAATGGGCTAAAAAATGGGTTGGGTCTTGACCCGCCCAATTTTGATCCGATTAAATCTCAATAATTTTAACATAGTGATATTTAACTTTTATAATCACAATTCAAATTTTAACTCAAGATTTTTTTTTTTCTAAAGTAACAAATAGATAGATAAATCTTAAAAGATGTTAAATAGATAATAATTTATACCTTTAATATAGTAACATATCTTAGTAAAGAGTTTTAAAATGAGTTGAAATTGGAGATTGAATTGGGCTTAATTGAGGATTCTCTTAAAACGGGTTAGGCTTGCATGGGTTGAGATTGAATCTAATTCAAATTATCTTGAGCCCAACCCTTTAAATTCTGGGCGGGTTACCTATGTTTGGGTTCATTTTTGACACCCCTATTCACCACATATTTTGGAAGGCAAAAGGGTCTGATAGACCCTTATACTTGGGTCAGATTGTAAACTGGACCCTTTTACTCATAACTTTGTCAACTAGACACTTAAACTCAATGAAACACAATATTTTAAACCCTTCTAACCATTGACCAAACTTATGTGGCAATAAAATTGATGAGTTGGAAAAGTGCGTGATTTACACGCGAATTAAGAGCGTGAACGGCTAGAAATACACATATAATCAGAAATTTTATTTAAAAAAGGAAAAATTAAAATATTCCTTTCCTCTTCTAATTTTCTGTAAATAAAAATAATTAGGTCCACCGCCCGGTAGATTTCTCATTGTAAAAATTACTCAGTGAAACCAAAGAAGAAAATTTTTTCTCATTCAACAGAAATGGTTATATGAAATCAAAAAGAAATAAATCTTCAAATCCATTTCTGATTTATTTGTCTTCGAATTGAGAACGGGTTACATTATTTTGAGCTTTTAATTTGAAAATTCAAACTGGAAACTTCTCTCTAAAATTGAAAACTCGAATCTCAAGACTATACGGGCTGAATCGAGGAACCTGATAACTCGGTTTCAGATCGAAACGACCGAGCTGAAGAACTCGATATTGGACTCGTATCTTGGGTTGTTACAGAAAGATGACAAGAACGTATTGATTGCAGTAGCTCAAAAAATTGTTCTGATACTAGTCCATTTACTTGATTTCAACTCTTCGCCGGAGATGAACGAGATAAATATCATCGCCATTGCTAAAGGATGGGAGATGGGTTTGGATTTGGTTGGGGGAGGCGCTGGAGGTGAGATCACATGAGAAAGGGGATGGGGAATTTTTAAATGCTATTATTATTTTTTTATATTTATTTTCTGACGTGTCACTAAGAAATGACGTGTATTTGGTTGTGTTTACACGCATCCTAGAGAAAAGGGTTTAAAGTAATTGGAAAACAAAAAGTTATACTAGTTATTTTTGGCAAAGTAAATATGTAACAGGAATCCTAATAAAAGTCAAAAAGTGCTTTATTTTTTTTTTTGTTTTTGGCTAAACATATACACGTTTGACATGAGCAAGGAATTAATAAAAAACATACGTTTCCCTAGAGCTAGTTATACTAGGAAACAACTAGTATATGAATTGAGTTATTATATAAAGAGAGGGATGTATCAATTGGCTTGTTACTTCTGATTAAAACAAGTCAAAAAGATTATCATGGAGACGAACTACTATTCATCTGTCTGGGCTGAAGAGGAGGACAAAAAATATTTGTCATCAATCACTTCCAAGGAACAAATTGATGTTAACAAAAAGGGAAGATATTGCTTGGCTCGTTGGGACGATTGGGGTTTTTTCATTGACATATGTGAATCTTTTGTTTGGCACTTCATATGTCATACCAAAATCATGCTCCCTTATTATTATCACTGCAATGACTGGATAAGAGAGGTGCGCAAGTGTGTTGTTTCCCCTTCAACGCATGAATATTTTCCCTACGACGATCAATACTTATGCAACGTCTCCCTATTCTTTCACCAAGAACCGTATTGTCTAATTACTGGTCCTCCTTATTATAAAAAGTGGGTAAAGGTAAAACTGTATGATGATAACAGGTTGATCGACGCAGTCACCTTCTGCAGTGGTGAAAAAATATGCACTCTGTTTCAGGAAGGGAAACTAGGCATAATACAAATGATCCCTGAAATAACTAAAACTACTTGTCTGTCTCCTGTCACAACATTCAGGGCACCCATAGATGCCACTGCTATGCATCGAAGCATACACTTGGTTTCGTGGCAAGACCAATTGTTTCTAGTTCAACAAAAATCGGATCACCTTCTATCTTTGAGGTTTGGGAGGTCGACTTTGAAACTAATCAATTCAACAGAGTACTCAATTTGGAAGGATTTATTATTTTTCTAAGTGGACGATTCTCTGCTGCAACTTCTTCATCTCTACCTCAAGAAAATAACAATGTCTATTTCACAGAGGGCAATGATCACCGCACTTTATATGCCTTTCACATTGGCGAACAAAGCTTGTCAACCACTAAGCAATTTCGTGTCCACCGTCCTCCCAATTCGGTTCCTCCTCTATTCGCCAGGTAATTTAGATACTTGTTTAATTTCATTGTCTATTTTAAAAGTTTGTTCAGAACATTTAATTTTGATAACTTATTTAGGTCAAGAAGGCCTAAAATTCAACATAACACTAGTACTAATACTAGAAGCGACAAGTTGAAAAAGCGTCCATCCCGTATTAATAGTAAGCGTCCGCCTGTAGACAGCAACATTTGCATCCATCTTTCTCGAGACCTTCAAAGGGAAATTTCTCGCTATCTAATTTCTCAAGAAGCATACATGAATTTTCGCTTGGTGTGTAAATTATGGAGATCCGTTGCTCCTCCACTACGTTGGAAAGTGGTTGTTGATGATGATGATGATGCGGCTCCTTCTTATCATCAAGACTCCATGTGGCTTTTATCTCTAAACCAAAACGATGGTTTGTGCACCTTCTATAATCCCTTTAGAAATTTCAACGGTTATATGAGAAACAACGATTTAGTAGGGTGTGAAATTCGATATGCAAAAGATGGATGGCTTCTTGTGTCTAAGGGAAAGTCTCTCTTCTTACTTGAGCCTTCGCCTTCGCCTTCGCCTTCTGGGAAGCAAATAATCCATCTCCCACAAAAAACAGATGAATATTTCTGTGACATTATGTCATTCTCAGCTTCTCCAACTAATTCTTCTGCCTGGGTAATCTTTGGTATAGCTTTATTAAACTTGTTTCAAGTTAGGATTTCATATTTGAGACAAGGGGATGATAAATGGACTACTATCACAAGGGACAGTGAGGTGCCATTCATACTTTCATCTTCTAGTCCGGTCTACTTTGGTGAAGAATTTTGTGTCATCAGCCAATACGGTGGTAATGTTGGTGTATTTGGCTTCCTTAAAGACGGAACCCCTTACTGGGTTATCCATCAACTTTCTGAACTATATTCACCTCCTATTCCTATTTCTGATGCTTGCCGTTTGTTTTTAGTTCAACAAGATCAAAATGTGCTACATTCCGTGGTTGTGACACCTCAACATGATGTTCATGTTTATGAACTAGATTTTGGAGGGAACGTTATAGTCAAATTAGTAAAAGAAGTAAAAAATTGGCTTTTTTTCACTAGCGAAGCCTCATCTATGGCTGTTTGTGGCATGAACGTAAATGTGGATAATGCAGTTTTCCTCCCCACTTTCAACACTTGTAACGACTATACCTACTACTCTTTGGAAGATGTCACTTTCAAAGTATTGAAAGACAATTGTACGGATAAAACGCAACAGAAAGAGCTTTTAAATCGTGTTTGGATCCGCTGTGAACTGACAGAGAATTGATTTTTCTACTCTCTCTTATGTATTGTAGTGGTTTTGTTTCTTGATCTTTCTACCCTCTCTTATATATTTCTTTCTTTTTTGTTGAAGTGAATGAATTAGTCTTACTTAGAAGGATAATTTGCTTAATTAGCTTTTTAAGTTTCTTTCTTTACTGGTTATGGGTTTGTTGATTAAAATTTCTTTCAAATGTTTGTCAGATAGAATATAGAGTAAAAAGAAAGTTAGTTAAAGTTCGTCGCTTTATATTTAGCTTGCTTTGTGATTGAGATCATAATTTGAAATTTTAAAATCTCAAAAAAAAATATAATTTGGGATTTCAATCTTTTTTTTTTAAATGTAAAACTTGACCCAAATAGTGTTTGCTTCACTCCATCGATAACCACCATCAAGTAGTACCACATCTTCATCAATCTTTTATTACTACTATCTAGAAAACACAGGCTTAATTAGGCTTCTACGACATTTTTATCTTTACAGAATTGAAAGAAAAAGAGGGATTGAATAAGCTATGAAAGCTTCAGTAACCTTCATCATCCATCAAATCAAAGTGGAGAAGAAGGCATAATATCAATGAAGCAGGGAAAAAACTGTTATTCCCATTGATCGATTGTTCAACTGAATGTATCAATACAAGGTCCTATATACATGCTATTTATGCCAATTACTAACTTCTATTGTAGCTGGTGCCAGCTGTAGCTTGTAACTAACTACTCTAACTGTACTCACAGAATAACTAACTGACTAACTAACTTATATTTAACACCCTTCCACAAGTATATCTTTCAATCCCAGCTTGGACAAAAAATAACAATGTTGCTGCTTCCCAAGGCTCATAGTGAGTAGATCAGCAAGCTGTTCTTTAGTGGGAATATGTTGAGTCTTGATCATACCCTGCACTATCTTGTCTCTCACAAATGACAGTCTATGTCTATGTGTTTAGTCTTTTCATGAAATATTGGATTGTGAGCTATCTGAATGGCAGCCTTGTTGTCACATTGAAGATGCATTGGCTGATGATTGCTTATCCCAAGCTCTTTAAACAGCCCTGTCAACCATGTTAATTCAGCTACCACTGATGCCATGCTTCTAAACTCTGCCTCAGCGGAACTTCTAGAGATGGTGTCTTGTTTCTTTGACTTCCAAGAAATCAAGGCACCTCCAAACTTAACTAGGTAACCTGTAACAGACTTTCTGGTTTGAAGACATCCTGCCCAATCTGAGTCACACAAGGCCTCCAAGGTACTAGATGATTCAGCTGGCATTAGTAGGCCAAGTCCTAGTGCCCCCTTAATATACCTGACAACCCTCAAGGCAGCTTCCATATGAGAGTGTTTTGGTTTGTGCAAACTTTGAACCACAAAAGCAATATCTACTCTTGTCATAGTGAGATATATTCATATGCATTTGTTATAAGAAAATTATATTGTATATTTTTTATTTTAATTTATTTTTTAAAATTACTATTTTTCTCAAATTAGTATTATTTATCAATTTAAAAATTATAAACCAATTAAATGTAATAAGAATCCTAACAAAATTAGGAAGTAGCTTATTTTTAGCAAAACAAGTACCGCCATGTCGAAGGAGTATTATTTTGGCAATGGAAAAAAAACAGCCTTTTTTTGAAAAATAAAAAATTCATTAAAACTGCCTTTATTTTTGGAAAACAAAAAGTTATACTAGTTAAGTTTGGCAAAGTAAATATGTAATAGGAATCCTAATAAAAGTCAAAAAGTGCTTTAATTTTGTTTTTGTTTTTGTTTTTGGCTAAACATATATACGTTTGACATGAGCAAGGAATAAAAAAAAACATAGGTTTCCCTAAAGCTAGTTGTACTGGGAAACAACTAGTATATGAATTGAGTTATTATATAAAGAGAGGGATGTATGAATTGGGTTGTTACTTCTGAATAAAACAAGTCATACTATTCATCAATGTCATCTGTCAGGGCTCAAGAGATGGACAAAAGATATTTGTCATCAATGACTTCCAAGGAACAAATTTATGTTAACAAGAAGGGCAGATATTGCTTGGCTCGTTGGGACGATTGGGGTTTTTTCATTGACGGGGTGGAATGTTTTGTTTGGCACTTCAAATGTCATACCAAAATCATGCTCCCTTATTTCCATCACTACGATTACTGGATAACAGAGGTGCTCAAGTGTGTTGTTTCCCCTTCAACACATGAATATTTTCCCTACCACGATGAATATTTATGCAACGTCTCCCTATTCTTTCGCGAAGAACGGTATTGTCTAATTTGTGGTCCTCCTTATTATAAAAAGTGGGTAAAGGTAAAACTTTATGATTACAGCAGGTTGGTCGACTCAGTCACGTTTTGTAACGGTGAGAAAATATGCACTCTGTTCCAGGAAGGGAAACTAGGCATAATACAAATGATCCCTGAAATAACTACTTCTACTTGTCTGTCTCCTCTCACATTCAGGGCACCAACAGATGTCTCTGCTTTATATCGAAACAGACACTTGGTTTCGTGGCATGACCAATTATTTCTAGTTCAACGAAAAGTCGGATCACCTTCCATCTTTGAGGTTTGGGAAGCCGATTTTGAAACTAAACAATTCAACAGAGTATTCAATTTGGACGGATTTATTATTTTTCTAAGTGGACAATTCTCTGCTGCAACTTCTTCATCTCTACCTCAAGAAAATAACAATGTCTATTTCACACAGTGCAATGATCACCGCACTTTATATGCCTTCCACGTTGGCGATCAAAGCTTGTCAACCACTAAACAATTTCGTATCTGTAGTTCTCACAATTCGTTTCCTCTATTCGACAGGTAATAATTTAGATACTTGTTTAATTTCGTCTTCTACATTAAATATTTATAAATATTGTTAACATTTGATGCTGATGACTTCTTTAGGTCAGGAAGGGCCAAAATTCAACATAACACTACTACTGCAGAAGACAAGTTGAAAAAGCATCCATCCGGTATTAAAAGTAAGCCTGCGCCTGTAGACAGCAACATTTGCATCCGTCTTTCTCTAGATCTTCAAAGTGAAATTTCTCGTTATCTAATTTCTCAAGAAGCATACATGAGTTTTCGCTTGGTGTGTAAATTATGGAGATCTGTTGCTCCTCCATTACGTTGGAAAGTGGTTGTAGATGGTGATGCAGCTCCTTCTTATGATCAAGACTCCATGTGGCTTCTATCTCTAAACCAAAAGGATGGTTTGTGCACCTTCTATAATCCCTTTAGAAATTTCAACTGTTATATGAGCAACAACGATTTAGTAGGCTGTGAAATTCGGTATGCAAAAGATGGATGGCTTCTTGTGTCTAAGGGAAAGTCTCTCTTCTTACTTGAGCCTTCGCCTTCGCCTTCTCGGAAGCAAATTATTCATCTCCCACAAAAAAGATACGACTATTTATGTGACATTATGTCATTCTCAGCTTCTCCAACTAGTTCTTCTGGGTGGGTAATCTTTGGTATAGCTTTATTAAATGTGTTTCAAGTTAGGATTTCATATTTGAGACAAGGGGATGATAGATGGACTTGTATCACAAGGGACAGTGAGGTGCCATTCCTACTTTCATCTTCTAGTCCGGTCTACTTTGGTGAAGAATTTTGTGTCATAGGCCAAAACGGTGATGTTGGTGTATTTGGCTTTAAAGACGGAACCCCTTACTGGGTTATCCATAAACTTTTTCAACAATATTCACCTCGTATTTATGATGCTTGCCGTTTGTTTTTAGTTCAACGTCAGGATCAAAATGTGCTACATTCCGTGGTTGTGACACCACAACATGATGTTCATGTTTATGAACTAGACTTTGGAAGCAACATAATAGTCAAATTAGTAAAAGAAGTCAAAAATTGGCTTTTTTTCACTAGCGAAGCCTCCCTCATCTGTTGCTGTTTGTGGCATGAACGTAAATGTGGATAATGCAGTTTTCTTCCCCACTTTCAATACTTGTAACGACTATACTTACTACTCTTTGGAAGATGTCGCGTTCAAAGTATTGAAAGACAATTGTACGGATAAAACACATCATAAAGAGCTTTTAAATCGTGTTTGGATCCGCTGTGAACTGACAGGGAATTGATCTTTCTACTCTTTGTCTCTGTGTATTTCTTATGTATTGTAGTAGTTTTCTTTCTTTTTTGTGAAGTTAATTAAAATTTAATAAAATATTTATATTTTATTTATGAATATAAATAATTATAAAATTTATATATAATTTCTACGTTCTCTTTGTTTATTTTTGCGATTCTTTTTAGTACAATCAAAACTAAACCAAATATATAGTGTTGGTTTTCAAAATTCAAAAGAAACATAACCAAATCAAATCAAATATCGATTTTCTTAATCGGTGTGATTCGGGTTGCGATTCGATTTAATTTTTTAACTATAACCACGAACAACCCGACATATATACATGGTACATTTTCTCTTGACCGATACACATCTCAAAACCTCATATGAGATATATATATTTACAAAGAGATAAAATAATCAAATACTATCATTCTCAGAGTCATTTCGTTGTTCCTTACTTCTTAATTAGTGATCAAATACACCACAACATATAATATTCAAATCATCCTACGAGCAATACGCTACTAACAACCCTCACAAATATTCATAAAACAATCTCTTTCTTAGAAAATTTGTTGTAAAAACAAGAACATCTAAGAAATTAAAATTCTAGCTAGAGAGATGCTGATGATGTTGGTGAATAATACAAGAAACAACAGCCGTAATGATGTTCATAGTAATGTAGCTCAAGTCATCAAATATGGCTGAGAATCTCATCTCTTGCAATTCCCATAGTGTTGTTATGAATTGCTTCACTCCATCAATAACCACCATCAAATAGTACCACATCTTTATCACTCTTTTATTACTAGTATATACTAGAATTACTACTATAGCTAGAAAACACAGGCTTAATTAGGCTTCTACTACATTTTTTTCTTTATAGAGTTGAAACAAAAAGAGGGACTGGATAAGCTAGATAGGTTGTTGTTGTCCTTATATGCTTATGTAGGCTGAGGAAGATATTGCATGGCATGTACAACAAATATGTGTTGTTTCCGGGATGCTTCCTACTCTACGTCAAAATTAAGCCCGTTGGGTATGTCACACGCGGATCATGATTAGTTGGACAATAATAATCGAGTTCGTAATTTAATATTACTAAAAATCTTTAGTCAGTTGCTTAGTTTATTGAACTTTTATCTTATTGATAAGGGTTTAATTTCAATCTACTCCTTTATTTATTCTTTTCTCTTTCTCCTACACTAGCGACATACGAGAAAATAAAATATTAAGGACAAATAAGTTGCTTAAAGCCTAACGACATACTAATTCTTAAAAAATGGATAAACAGCCCTATGTTTTTTTTAAAATAAAACATATGTCTTAGGCATCTAATTTGGAGGGGTGGGGGTGAGGAGGGGAGAACTCAAATTTTTATCAATAAAAATTATGTATTATTTATGATGAAAAGTATAATTTTTTAGTAAAAAAATATTATTTTATCCTCATTAAGCGTATACAAATAGAAGAAACCAAGAAAATATTATTTTACTTTTTTGCATTTTATTCGCTAGCATTCACATTAAATTATTCGTTTTAACTCTACTCTTTTTCATCAAAATTTTGATAAGTCGGAGACTTAGAGTAAAACTGTATTAAAAATATGAATCAATAGTCAAAAAATATCCTCCTCCTAAATTGCAAGCCCTTAAATTTGTAAGCATCACAATAGGCATATTAAAATGGGGTATGTCAAGTAACTTTTTCTTCTTGAATTAAATTATATAATTTTAACTTTTATCTTTATCTAAAATTTATCAACTTATTACTTATAGAATTATGTTAACAATTCATATAATGATTGTATTGGTGAAACAATGTTTTCCAACATTTAATTAATAAAATATCACCAATCACTAATTACCAAAAACTAATAATTGAAAAATAAAAATAAAAATAGATATTAAATAATAATTTACATTTAAAAAATAAAAAAATAAATTTAAATATATATAAAATTTGCTTAGCAAATTCGAATTACAATTGGCTTTAGACCTTCAATCATGTTGCATGAACCAAAAAGATAATTTCTCCCACAAAGAGGGAAAAGAAAAAGAAGAAAATCAGAAATGCGCGGCAAAACGGCTCGCTGGTTACAATTAAGAATAAAAATATAATAATTTAAAGAGTTCTAATTTTTTACTTAAGAAAATCTCTGCTTATTGCTAAGCACATTCTCCGACTCCGAGGTCCCAATAGGGCTGTGATTATTCACTTCAGGTTTGTTCATCTTCCTTAATATTTCAATAAGTTTTTCGAATTCATACTCTATTACAGCCAAATTGTTTGTTAATTTGTTTCGAAGTGTGACCTAATTGTTCGTGTTTGAGTGTTACTTTGCTGTATATGTATTTTACTTACTACTCTTATTCTTCGGGGGTAAAAGTAGTATTCTAGTAATTCCTCCTGTTCATTTTGTAGGATATGGAGTTTAAGGTGTCAATTTGACCCTTCAGAGTGACCTAGTGGGTTTGGGCTTGAGACTTTCATGTTGTAGGCCTCAAGTCCGAAATCTCTTGCCAGCAAAAGCAAGGGTTTGCCTTCTGGGTCGAGCTCGTCGCACCAGGCTTGCCTAGTGTGGGTTACGTCTCTTTTGCGAGATATTGCATAGGAATAGGGGTTTTTGTTCATGTACAACCAAAGGGTAGCGATTGCGGATTTCACTTGTCATAAAAAAAAAGGTGTCAAATTGACTTGCCTCCTCGTGGAAAAAGTATATCTAAGTACTACTTGAAAAAATCAATTTGATTGAAAACCATTTAAAAGATCGAATTTGATAGATTCGTGAAATCAAACTTCTTAAAGTTGTGAAAGTTGTATAGAATGATATTATTGGTGGAATTGTATTAAATGTTCCCAAAACATGAAGAGTAAAATTGGGATGGGGTGGACAAAGTAACATGGTTCCTATTGCTGGTGGGAGTTTGCGTGGAATTAGTCGAGGTGCGCAAAAACTAGCCCGGACACCACAGTAACTAAAAAAATTAAAAATTGGGATGGAGTGAGTAGCATATATTGATATTTTTCCTAATATTTCTGTTCATTTCTTTGTGGTCATACTCTTTGCAAAGTTTACAATTAAATGTTTTTTTTTTTCATCAGAGGTCGGGGTTCTGCAAGGTATTCTACTTATTATGTCAACTTTTAGATTGAAAAAGTAGTTATCTGCGCTTGCTTACATCACATATTTACTAGTTAGGTTTTGCATTCAAGTAGACACATTGAAATATATATCCTAGTCAGGGGTTTTGTAGTGTTGCAATTACTAAGAGTTTCACTAGCTAATGTAGAATTCAGTTTCTGATGGGGACTTCTAAGTTTTGATTAAATCAAAATCTCATATTTTCCTAACCACTTGTTAGATGAAAGAAAGCATAGTTTGTGCCGGAGATATATGGCATTCACATAAGAGCATCCGAAAAGGTTATTAACATCTTAAACTACTTCACTTATTGCCTTTAGCATTTTGAATTGTGTCCTTGGATTCTCTTAATTAGCTTCAAAGCAAGGTCAAATGTTTATCTTTACAGTTGGTGGTGGGCAGGGTGGAGAATTGTCTGTAAGGAGGCCAATGGGCCGAGTTTGCACCTGCCTCATGGCAACGGTTAATCAGGCTGTTACAATTAGCCTGTGAGCGCATATATGTGCAACTTCTAGGAAATAAAAATGCAACCTTAGTAAAATTAATGTACTAAAAAGTACTTGGTTTTTTCCTTGATTTTACCATTTCAATTAAAAGTTTAGATTCTTTCATGTGGTATCAAAATCTACATGTGAAGCCTGTTCCCTCACTGTAACTTTGATATTCATCCCATGGCTGAATTGTGAACCTTTAAAATGGATAGTCTCTTATTTTTCCTGTGATTCATAGTCTGACATGTTAAATTATCAATAGTTCTCCAAGTGATTAATGAGATAATATTTTGGAATACTGTGTGTTTTCTCTTTAGTTTATAAGGTTTTGACTTTTTTCCTTTGTATGAGTGCTTGCTGCATGCATTATGTTACTTGTTTTATACTTTCCTAGGTTTACCTTGTCATTTGATTTCAATAAGCTCCTTGTTTTTTTCTTTAAGCCACAGTTCTTTTCCAAAAAAGTGATTTTTTGAACTGGGTGTGTTTAGGGGTAGTTAGTAGCTAATAGGGAATAAAAATATGGTTTTGTTGGATTGCTCTCTTTGGCTAACTTGTTTTTCTGGTACCACTAATTAGACTCTTTCATGTGAGTCTTTGTCAAATTTGTGAACTACCTCCCTTGATTTTTTACTGGAAAAGTGGGTAACGTTGAGAGAAATGGTCTTATTAGTGACACTTGGTCATTTGTTTACTCTTTGCTCACTACTTGGTAGTGGTTTGATTTATGCGATTTTGTTTCATTTATTCTTGATTGTGAGTTGGAAGGGACCCATCTAAACTAACATGTGCCATGTCTGATGAAACTTAATGAAAATTTCTTTGCAAACTTTGTCTAGGACTTGTTTTAATTGTTTGTAGAAATGCTTGGTTTAGGATAGGATAATAGGTTTTCCATGCCTACAATTTGCATTAAGTATCCCTAGTTGTCCTCTTTGAGCCTTAAGGGATCTTTCTGGAAATAAAACCTGTTTTGTTGAGGCAATTTCTCCTTTTGAGTTATTTGATTGTAAATGTGTACCGCTTATCTTCAACTTAGACTTCAGATGCTCCGTATTTCATACCAGTTGATCTGCATTTGCTTACTTTAATATTCTTTGGTAGCTTCCTTTTTAAAAATAACAACTTCATTTGGTACTTTTGCTGGCTCCCATTGTATATGGGAGATAATTAGATACTCAGAGGGGTTGCTTAAAATATGACGCCTTTGCAGCTTACTCTGATTTGTGCTGCCCTCGTGCTTAAAGATTGTACCTTCTTTCATTATTACTGGTGCTTGTCTCTTTACAGTCCTTTTCTATCATTCTCAATCTTTTCAGCATCTGAAATAAAAAAACCATTGAAACTGTCTACTGATTGAGAACTGTCAATGGACATGAGGCCAGGATTCTGTCATTAGCTGTATCAGTATCGCATATTTGAACATCATAGTTTGAGTTAAGTCACAGCTGAAGTAAAGAATGCTTCCACTAAAATTATAAATATCACATTTGTAGTTAAACACGGGCTTTCTCGTTGGGTTCTCTTATTATCAATTTTCTTTTAGCTACCTTCCTTATCTTACATTCTTTTCACTTGTTTTCATGAAACAACGTAGCTCATGGTATGTAAATTGGTACAAAACAACATGGTACCAGTGTTATCAAAGGCGCGCTTAAGCCCTAAAGCGAGGCTCAAAACGTATTGAGCGCTTTGCCTCACTTCAGTGTTGTCATCAAGGTTCTAACGCAAATTTTTCCTTACCAATGTGCCTCTTATGAAGAAGTGACACTAAACAATTGATATTTCACTTTATCATTAAAAAAATTCAATTTCTTTGGTCATATATTTGTCATTCATATAATTATTAGTCTTGGACCAAACATATATATTTGTAATTTTTTTTCTCCCTTTGCGCCATTTTTCATTAAAGCCCAAGCTTTATTTGCGCTTAAAGCCCCACGGACCTTAGAGTTTTTTGCGCTTTTCGTCTTTGATAACACTGCATGGTACAATGATGTTTATGCATCTTTAGTTCACTAAATTGAAATGAAAATGGGTATCTGAACTATGGATACCCATGTAACTCCTCATTTTAACGTGAAATTCCAGAGAACTTTTACCTCAATTTTGTGAAAGACCTCTTAGCCATTGATCGTCAGTGATCAAGGCAAAACACCCTTGATCCCTAATTGATGTTATAATCCAAACTTGATGAATCTTTGATATAAATGAAAACCGATTACTAACTTAACTTTTAAGTTTTGCCTGCTTAATCAAATTGGAAACAGATGGCAAAAATTGAAAGCATATCTGAAATGATGGCTTATGACAGTTGAGATACTTGAACTTACCATTTACCATTTTATATTCAGGGATCCCTGGATAGCTTGACTCTGAACTTTGGAGTTTCAGATTTTATCAGTAAACTGAACATGCAAGCCCAACTCTGTACTGTTGCAGGTATTCATGATGTATTAATTTTTAGCTTATACATCTAGAATTACCTTATTCAGCTTTAGGTGACTCGTGTCATTTGGTGGTCCATGAGCGTGGATAGAAAGCATTTTGCCTGTAAGTATTTTTTTATGAAGACATTTGGCTGAGTGTCTTAGATGACTTATGATCAAAACACCTAACTTAAGGGAAACAACTAAGAGCCTGTTTGGATGGGCTTTTAAGCTGGTCAAACTGGCTTAAAAGTCAGTTTTTGACTTATTAGAGTGTTTGGCAATTATCAAAGTGACTTATTTTAAGTCAAAAATGACTTATTTTAAGCCAAAAGCTAAAAGCCAGGGGAGGGGAGCTTTTTTTTTTAAAACTTAAAAGCTCTTTTATGTCGACCAAGTATATTACCTTTTTGCCCTTAATTCTTTTATACAATTTTCAAATTGGCCATATTGAATTATTATTATTATTATTATTATTATTTTATTATTATGTTTATTATTATTATTATTATAAATATTATTATTATTATTACTATTACTATTACTATTATTATTTTATTATTTTATTATTATTATTATTATTACTATTACTATTATTATTATTATTATTATTATTATTATTATTATTATTATTATTATTATTATTATTATTATTATTATTATTATTATTTTATTATTTTATTATTTTATTATTATTATTATTATTATTATTTTATTAGTTTATTATTATTACTATTACTATTATTATTATTTTTTTTTATTATTATTATTATTTCTGAAATATGAATTTATATTCCTCTTATAAGGTGGTAAAGAAATATGTGAATGATAGAAAAATATTATTACTTATGGATGTAAAACATAAATTAATTTTGTTTTAATTTTTTTTTAAAGTATAAAAACCTTAAATTAATCAACTTTTTATCATGTTAACAGCTTAAAGGGTATTTCAGACATTTTGATAAAAAAAGTGTTTACCAGCACTTATTTGCCAAACACATCAACAACTTTTTTTTTCAACTGCAGCACTTTTATCCAAACACATAACTACTTATTTTAAAAATAAGTCCAGCACTTTAAAAAGTTACTTTTTTTAAGTCAATCCAAACGGGCTCTAAGTGCTCTTGAAGCCAATACATTAGGTAAAGTAAAGTGCAAGCATTGACAAAGCATAATTATGTCTGGACTGTAGAAATGGTGCACATTTCTCATGTAAACTGAAAGAAAATGACTCATCACTAGGTTATCCATTTTAACTCCAGATGTGAGTAGGAAATCAGAGAAATTTTGCCCAAAAAGAATGAGACTGTTTGATTTTTAATAACACCTTTCTGCTCCTCATCAAATGAATAAAAAAAAAAAACACCATTCTACTAAATATTTCAGTTATGATTGTTGATCTGCATGTCTAATATCAACAAACTTTGATGGAAAACAAACATTTGATTTTTTTCTGAAGGGAAAACTGCAAACCCTTAAATTTTCCTTATCATAGGTGAGATAATTCTTGTGCTAATCTATTTAATCTTTTGTATATAGGGATTTCTTGGTAATTCTATGTTGAATTTTGGAGTTCCGATCGGCTTACTTGTAAACTAGAGAGGTGAGCACAAATCCATCTACTACCAGCACTCGTGCTTTGTTATTTTTATCTTGTAGTTCTGAAAAGATTAGCTTTCAGAGCATCAAATCTTGCCATTCCATTTTCTTTATTTGATAAGGATGCATCTTGGCCTAAATGTTGTTATCTGAAAAAAAATGACTTTTGGCTGATTGACTTGGCTGACTTTACATCAGAATATTTACTGAACAGGAGACTGGAAAGAGGTGCAAGTCAAGCAATATATGTGGTTTACTAAAATACACTAGAAAGAAGAATCAGTTCTAGAACTGTTTGGATTACTAAACTAATTAATTTTAACTGTCTAAGATGAATAACCATTAATCATTGGAATCCTACCAAATTCATAAATGCATGATGTGCTTACTGCAGTTTCCAGAACACAAATCTCACTATTGAATGTTCAGCAAAGTATTAAACGGATATCCTACATTTGCCTTCAAATCCTTTATAACCATCAGGAGTACAGGCTTGAAAAAAGGCACTTAAAAATTTGGGGCATTCCGAGAATCGAACTCGGGACCTCTCGCACCCAAAGCGAGAATCATACCACTAGACCAAATGCCCATTGTTGGCATTGTCTTATTTGAGTGCTAAGCAAATGTGTTTTCCCCTTTTGAGTTATTTGATCCCAAATGTCATTGCTTATCTGTAATGCAGAATTCAAATACTCCTTATTTTACACCAGATGATCTTCATTTCTTGCTTAAATGTTCTTGAGTACTTTAATATGCTTCTGCTGTTCCTCTGATTCTTACTGCACTTGATGCCTAAAGGCGCTCTCAGCTTTGGTTGTTACTGTAAGTCTGTAACTTGAATATTTACAATCCTATGCTATCAACTCAACCCTCTGGCCATCTGGAATCCAAAATCCATGAGATATGTCTAGTGATTAAGAACTGTCATTGGACATGAGGCCAGGTCTCTGGCATTAGTTGGATTAATATTACATAGATCGAGTTAAGGCACAGCTGAAGCAAGCAAAAGCTCCACTAAGGAGTATTCATAGTTCAACATGGGCTTTTTGCTGGGTTCTCTTACTTCCAGTTCTTTTTTAGTACCTTCTTTATGGAAAAATTAGCAAACTAGTCAAAAAGTTAACTTAATTAGTAAAAACCTTCATACTTTATAAATATTAATAAAAATGTCAAAATGTCATTATTTTAGAAAAGCTTGTGTATCCTAATTTACTTCCTATTTTATCTTACCTTAATTACACATTTCCCAATTAATCCTCTATCAGATGTTTAAAATAAAGGGAATATTTTCTCTCTCTCATATTTTCATCTTCTTCTTTTTTTCTTTTTCTTTTTTTGCAACATATTTACATCTTCCAATTCTTCTCCATTTCAAAATCTGCCTCTCTTCCTTTTTTTTTTCCAGAAATTGAAAAATATATTTATAAAGATATTCACACAATCCCTTTTATTGAGGTATGCATCTTTATTCGTTTTTTAAGATTTATTTTATGATTTTATTTTTGTTTAAAATTGTTGTCTGTAGTTGAAATCACGTTTAGGATTCGATAAACTCTAAATCACGCTCCAATGGCAGAATCTAAGAGAATTACTAGAGGTATCCAACTTAATCAACAATTTTCTATTTTTCAATATCACAATTTTCTACTTAGAACACAAATGACGACAATTTTGTATTTTAATTTGCTTATTTTGTATTTCAATATCACTTTATCTACAAACAAGTTCTTCTTTTTTTTATTTTGTATTCACCATAATGGTATTCCAACAAAGTCACATTTGTATTTCAATTGAAATGAGTATTTATTGTGCTCATTTTGTATTTCAATCTCAATTTTCAATGACAACATATTTCTTTTTTTTATTATGTTTTTATCATAATTGTATACCAAAAAATTTTATATTTTATGTGCTCACGTTACCATTCAAATTAGAATTGAATATCATATTGTGGTGTGTATTTTACTGTGATCATTTTGTATTTAACTCTCACATTGTATTCAGGAAATTGTATTTTTTTTTTTTTTGTGTTCATCATAATGACATACCAACAAAGTCAATTTTGTATTTCAATTTATGTGAGTATGTGATCATTTTGTATTTAACTCTCACATTGTATTCAGGAAATTGTATTTTTTTTTTTTTTGTGCATATCATAATGACATACCAACAAAGTCAATTTTGTATTTCAATCTCAATTTCAATGACAACAAGTCTGTATTTCTTTTTATTATGTTTTCATCATAATTGTATATCAACAACTTTTGTATTTCATGTGCTCACTTTACCATTCAAATTAAAATTGGTATTTTACTTTCATAGTGAAAACTAAATATTGTATTACAGTGATCAAAATTGTATTACATAACTGCCAAATATATTTTTCTTTATACGTATTACAAAAATATTATTCATTGTATCACAATATAATCTAATCATTACATATGAATACGTTTAAAGAAAGATACAAGATTCTGATAAAAGAATAGCATACATAATAAAAATAATACAATATGTTGAGGAATTAATGATACAATATTCTAAAAAACATACAAATTGACTGTGAAAAAAATATGATACATCTATGTTTAAGAAATACAAATCAATTTGGCATACCAACTGGAATGACTACAAACTAAAAAAAATTACAATGTTCGTAATAAAAATATAAATATTGTAAAAGAAAAACAATTGACAAACAAAAATTAATATGAATACAATTTATGCAACCTTCTTCTCCATTCTCTCATTCTTTGCAACCTTCTTCTCCGATTCTCTCTCTTTTTTTCTTCTTCTTCACGAAAGTCGATTTTGGTTCTAAAATTTGATCCGTTGAAGCCATGGTTGGATATAAAAAAAACGTGATTTAATCAAATTCATTTCAACAGAAATTGAGTATTATCAATGAAAATTAAAAAATCGATATTAGAAATTTGATGAACAAGTGGGATGAGTTCTTTGTGTTTGTTTTTTTGAATTTGTATTTAGTTTTGAATTTTTGTAACTGATGAGACTTTTAAGCAATTGTTCCTTTTTTAAAAATTTCTCTCCCCTAAATTTCTCCTTTCTATTATTTAATAATTGTATTCTTTAAATAAAACAAATAATAAAAACTTAAATAAGATACATATTAAACTAAAATTCTGACATTTTTACTAAATATTGAAAGTATTGACAATGAGTCCTATTAAATGTTAAAATATTGACATTTTGAAAAATTTCCCCTTCTTTATTACTATCTAGCATCTACAATATCATTATTAACTTGGTGAATGGAGACATGAATCCATTCATATCAACTACTCATTCTGTTCTCTATTTAATGTGACATTTAATTTATTTATTTTTCGTTTTAGTTTGATTAAAAACTATGATACATTTTTATATTTATAGTTATAAATAATTTAATTTTAATATTTTCATTGTATTTTTAATTATGAGATGACCTATGTTTATACAAATATCAATCTTATTTAAGATTATACACTTCAAAAACGGTTTTTTTTTTTTCATTTTACATACTTATTGCCTAATCAAATTTTGCCACATAAATTGGAATGAAAAAAGAATATGTTGGAGGAGTTGTCTGGGTGGGATCGGACAGGACAAAATTTATGTCCTGAGGATGTATAGCAGGCAAGCGTTTGTAGTCCAACGGTTAGGATAATTGCCTTCCAAGCAATAGACCCGGGTTCGACTCCCGGCAGACGCAATCATTTTGCATTGATTTTTATTTATTGATACTTTCTTTCCGTATTTAGGACTTATAAATAGAATATAAATTTTAGTATTACTTTGGTTGTAGGCTACACAAATTAGCCTCTTTACTTATTTATTGTGATTATATTTTATTAATTTGATTGTCGAATTAGCATATTCACAAATTAAAAATAAATAAACTAAATCAATAATATATGAAATTAGATTGAATCAATAGATGCACACGCTTACTTGTACCTAATAATACACAAGTACCTTTATTTATTAACTTAGCTAACGGAATTGCCCCTTTATGCTTGTTGGTTCACTTGAGTTATTTTATGTTATATTCATATGCATTTGTTATGATAAAATTATATTGTATATTAATTTTTTTAAATTACTACATTTCTCAAATTATTATTTAATTAAATATATAAAAAAAAATAACGTTTGGTAGATTTTTTTCTTCAAAATAAAGTCTGAAGCTATTTTGAAATTTTAAGATTTGATTTTTTAAATCTTTCAAAAAATAAATAAATTCTATAAAGATAAATATTTTTTTAAAAAAATAATGAAACTCAATTGATATTACAGCTCAATAACAATGTAAAGTTGACCATCATATATTCCTATCTATACAAGATAAAATTTAAAATATCTAATATCATTATAACATAAATTTCCTCATAAATAATGTATATATTACTAATACCTACATAACTATAGCATTTTTTAAATTTTATCATGTACAAATAATAATATAGGATAGTCAAATTTATTTTGTTGTTGACCTATGTTAGTCAAATTTCATTTTTTTCCTCTTTTGAAATATCTATCTATTTATAGAATTTATCTGTTTTTCGAAAGATTTTAAAACCCAAATCTTTATATTCTAAAATGGCTACAGATTTATCTTGACCCAAAATATGACCATGGTGACTATTTAAATATTTCACTTTTTTCCTAAAATATGACCTTTGACTATTTTAATAATTTAAAACTTGACCCTAAATATGACATGTGGAACTATTTTAATAATTTAATATTTCAATACTCGCCCAAAATTTATACTTTATAAAAAAAGTCTCCCATATGTTTGTGATCCGCAACTAATTCATATCTATTTTTTCTCCCTTTTTATTTGTTTGTGTTTGATTAAAACAAGGGTCTTAAATTGACTAATAATGATACATACATATAAAGATTTTGCTTACTATTTTTCTTTAAAAGAACAACTTTGGGAAAAGGGAATAAATCAATCCAAACCTAGTACTCTTCCAATTAATTCCAATTTTGGCTTCAAGGCCTTCCTTAATTCTCCTTATAAATACAATATCATCTCATTTCTCCACTTCATAAGTTCTTTTTGGTCAAAAGAACACCCCAAAAATTCTATTTTGTTTTTCCTCACTTTAATTCTTCTAAAATGAAAAGCCGAGTTCCTTCTCCTGCTAAGGTACTCCATCTCCTTCTACTACAATTTTCATTTCATGGTTTCAAATAATTTTTTTTAATTCTTTTATCTGTTTTTTTTTTCTTATAATTATTGACCCATATATTTTTGTTCTTTCATTTGACGGCTTAACCAAAAAAAGGCATTGTCAGTCAATCAAGGGTTGCTCAAGAAAAAAGTTTTGCCTCCCAATAGAACCAACAAGGTGAGAATAAATTTTTTTTCTACTCCGTGCTTTAATAAATAGTTGACGGTTTATCTAAAAAGCCTCTATAGAGGTAAAGGTAAGGTTTGCGTTTGATCCATACAAAATAATCTTTTTATTTCTGTGTGGTAAAAGTACGATATGTGTATGCTCTATCAGAAATAATCTCTTTATCTCTATTAGGTAAAGACATGGTTTGTATACGCTTCATCATGAAAACCCTCTTTATTTTTATGAGGTAAAGATAAGGTCTGTGTATGCTTCATCGGAAATGACCTCTCTATCTTTATATCGTAAAGATAAGGCCTCTGTACACTCCATCGAAAATAACCCCTCTATACACTCCATCAAAAATAACCCCTCTATCTCACTAGATAAAAATTATATCTACATATGTTATATCCTCTCAAGTCCCTGTTGGTGAGGTTATACTGAGTATGTTATCGTTTTGACACACAAGTACTCTTGTAAGGAAGTACTTTAAAACTAATTAAGATACTTGGCATATACATTTGCAGGTGGAAAGCGGAGATAACAAGAAGGTTCAAATGTGGTAAGTGGAGAAAATGCAAAAACAAATTATAATAATAATAAAATAGGTGTTTAGACGTGAATTTTATGATGTTTGAATTTTTTTAAATTGTATTTAAAGTTGAGCGGAAAAAAGTATTTAGAAATTGAAGTTGTGTTTGAATATGTATTTTATTTGAAAAAATGTTACTTCCTCCATTTTAATTTGTTTGTCATACTTTTTTGGTTCATTTATTTGTCCTACTTTTCTTTTTAGTCCATTGAAAAAATATTTTTTTCTTTTTTTGTGAACTCTTTAATTTCAATTTTATACCACAACATTCAAAAGTTTTTTTTTACTTTCTTAAACTTCGTATCAAATCAAAATCAAACAAATAATTCAAAATGAAGTGTACACAAGTTTTGAATTAAACCTGAAACCTCAACTCAAAGTTGGAGTGAGAATTTGACTATGAATAATCAAACAGTCTATCGAATTATTTTTTGAAAAAAAAAAAAGATAAGAGAATTTTATGACCAATTGGCCGTTAATATATCCTGGTATTATTATCTCTTTAAAAATATTTTTGATTCTCGATTTTACTAGCATTGGAAGGAAGGGACAGACAGACAACTCTGTTGATATAAGCTCATCATCCCAATTGCGAGCCGAAATATTTCAAAGAACTTTACCTTCTGAATTTCCAAATTTTGTCAAACGTATGCTCCCTTCCCATGTCACTGGGGGATTTTGTTTGGTAAGTAAATTTCTTCTTAATAGAATTAGAGCAATATTGAAATTGTTTTTGTTTCTATATAATCTAGCCTTTCTTATAAATATTTTGATATAACAGAGCTTACCAAAAAAAAAATTGTGTTTCTCATTTGCCAAACCATAATGACAATGTCATTTTGGTGGATGAAGATGAAGATGAGTTTTCCACCAAGTACCTAATTGAGGAGATGAATTTTCCACCAAGTACCTAATTGGCAAAAGCGGATTGAGTGGGGGGTGGAGAGGTTTCTCCATTGCTCACAATCTTGTTGAAAATGATGTGTTGGTCTTCCAATTGATTGAGACTTGCAAATTCAAGGTAACACCTTTTAAATGCTTAAATCCTAGTCATTTTGTTAAATCAAAAATTACTTTCACTTTATTTATCTTAAATGTAATGTTAGTATAAATGAATTTCCAACCAAAAGAGATAATATTAGAAACATAGATATTTTTGATAAAGTAGGAATGATCCCCGTTGTGGACAAGATGAGAGAAGCGAGACTAAGATGGTTCTGACATGTGAAGAGAAAGATTCATAGATGCGTCAGTGAGGAGGTGCCAAAGGTTGGCTATGGTGGATTTAAGGAGAGGTAGAAGTTAGTCGAAGAAGTATTAGGGTGAGGTAATTAGACATGACCTGACACTATTGTGCCGTAATTTAACTATTTCTAGAAAAATCACTTTTTGAAATGTTCTAAGTATAAAACAATTTGAGAAAAAAATACTTAGAAAAGAGTCGCCACTTAATTTTTTAAAGAAATTAAGAAAACTTATAATTTTCAAAGATTTAAACAGAAAAAATCATTTGAAAATACCAAAAAAGGTTCGGGGTTCAATTTACACTTCGAGAAGGGTTTAAGCATTCGAAATGCCCGCTAACATGCGATTGACCTGCGACTTGACTAAAATATATTTTGACTATTTTTAGGAAAATGGTTTAACATAAACGAAAATATGATAATTTACAATATTCAGTTAACTCTGAAGAATAGTTAAATAACGAACATTTTATATTTCATTTTTTACTTTTTTAGTGAATAAGATCCAAAATGAAACATTTAAATTAAATTACAAGTGATTAGAATATTAATATAAAACTAGATTAATTAGAATTTATTTAATTCATTTTAAATCAATTTAATAAATTAAAACATGAAAATCATTTCTTATTAATTGACTAAACCTTTTGAGAAAATGACTAAGTAAGTATTTATAATAATATTTTACATTATTAGATTAACTTTGAAAAAATAGTTAAACAAAGAGCAATTTTTTTATTTTTTAAGAAAATGGGACCCTAATTGAAACATTTGAATTAGAGACAAGTAATTAGAATTTTAACGAAACTAAATTAATTGGTTTCTATTTGAGTCATTTTTTGGTTTATGAAAAAAAATAAATTGTTTTAAACTAAATAAAAATTTTGTTTGACTAAAGATTATAAATGAAAATGCGAGAGTTGATAAAATGAGATTTGTTAGAAATAAAACAACACAGAGAAATAGTTTGTCTTTTGGGGAATTCGATTAAATTAATTAACAATTCTAAAGTTAGAGTTAATGATAATAAAAACAAACAATAAATAAAGAAGGAGAAATGAATTTGGGCCCTTTTGGGCCAAATTCGCTGCCACTATTGGGCTTAACCCAATTCCCGTTTTTGTATACACTTGATGTATATCAGTGTATATCGGCACGTGTATAGGTGTTTTTCATGTATATCTTGCTTCCAAGCACCCGTTTTTCACCTCATCTTTGTATTTTTGCATTTTTTGGCCCGTGTTTGCTGTACCGAACTTGTATATCAGCGTATACGGCTGTATACAACGTGTATACAGCCCATCTTAAAACTTTCCGGGCACCTGAAATCTGAACTTCCAGCCCATGTTTTTGCATCTCATCATATTTGTGGTAATCAGGCTGACTCAAACGATGAAAAGAAATTTGAGCCTCTATGGCTCAACTCGATAATGCAAGGAAAGGCAAGTCCATCACAGACTCGGAAGGGGTTCATACAACAAACAAAAGAAGCAAAATTAGCATAAGTAAGGGAAAGATGTATTTTTGACAAGCAATATATTAATACCCATATTGGTAACAATTCAAATGTGAGCTTATCAACTCTTATTTTTTGCAGAAATAGTAGCAACATATGAATAGGGATGTTAATTGAACTATTCAATATTACTACAATAAGGCATCAAAAATTGAGTACTTTAGTAGGAAAGGTTAAAAACACTTCAAATTAACTAACATGCTAAAACAAGTATTCATCTCCGTGTATTAGACCCCAAGGAACACCCCAATTATTTTTCAAAGTATTTTCAGCTTGAAGAACAAATACAAGGTAACTATTAGATTTTAAAAATAAAAATAAAAATTTAGTCAATAAGCAGAGACACACATGAATTATTAAAGCAGGAACTAAACACTTAAAATGAATCATTTGTTGTTGTCGACCGAAAGGGAATTAAGCCAAAAATATCATGTAAACAACACTAGATAAGCAAGGTGCTAAGTTGAAGCATATCATTGTATGTTCTAGGAGGCATTTGAACAATCTCTAATGTAATATAATTTTTTTTCTTTTTACCCATTTCAATAAATTCTCTAAGTATAAATATGTTACAAAAAGATATAAATTCAATCAAGTAGAGTGCAATAGACCTCTAAGCACAAATATGTTACAAAAGATGTAAATTCAATCAATTAGAGTGTAATAGACTAACAAGTATATATATATTCACAACAGTCAACAAGATGCATAAAGGAGAAGAAACTCAACTTAACACACATTTGCTAGTTGCTAGGCCTTAATATATTTAAACAACATAGTACTTATAAGGATGACTTGTAGGGATTCATTTAGACAAATATTTAGGCAAGACTTCATCTTCAGAGGAACTCATAATAAATATGACAACCAACATATAACTTAAATATAAAAAAAAAAAGTTCTAGGCAAATGACTCATACTAAAGATGCACAAGAAAACAAGTGTGTCATTTTAGCAACAATATTCCTGCTTTGGTCATATCTGGAGAAAACAACAATCACATAGAACTAGCATTGATTTTAATCAAAACCAAAAAAAAAAAAAAAACGAAATCTTTAGACGCCATCAAAATATTGAATTAATTTTAAACTATGCATTATACACAAACCAAGCAAACATAAAGGTCCGATTACAATATACAAATACTCTAAGCCCCGCTTGATCATATAAAGAACATAAGAAAGTAGAGAAGCGGAATATTACCTCTTTCTGAGCAGCGAGACTGAAACGACGGGTTCGAAGCGATTCCACCACCACCAATGAAGTCCGATGGTTTCGAAAGGAAAACTTATAACTCAAAAATCAAAACTCTCTTTTTTTTTACTATAGTAACCAATTTTTTATGAAGCTTTTTTCTGTGTGTTTTTTTTTTTTTTTTTCTTTCTCCATTTTTCTTCCTCTCCTTTTTAATTGAAAAAATCGATCTTAAATAGATGAAGAAAGAGGCTGATTTGAGGGGCAAAACGGATTGAAAATTTTAATTTAAAATTCGAATTCTTTGCTTTGTTCTTTCAAGTCAACAGTGAAAGTGATGGAAAATTCTGAAATTGTGGAAAAAAGGGACGCGACTGGTGTGACGGATCTGCTTATTTGCACAGATTTCTTGCCGGATTTGCTGGGATTTTCTGGTAATTCTCTGCTCCCGTGAAGAAGGAGATGCACAGGGCAGTGGGGTCGTTTTGGTACTGCTGTATGTATTGTTTGCTGGGTCTTTTGGGAATTGTTGTTATATGTATTGTATTGTTGTGGGCTTGGGTTTATAGGTATGGTTGGGCTTATTAGAAAGCTGAAAATGGAATTGAATTGGGTATTTATTTGATGGGTTGGGAATTGATTGGGAATTGAAAAAATGGGCTTCGAACATTGAAGTGGGCTGCTGAAATATGGCAAGTAAATGGCCCAATTTCTGATCTCAACAATGAATTAAGAATAAGGTGAGAAGTGGCTAGCATTGCAATTACACAATAGCCAAATGAATTTAAATTGTAGCCAAATTGAATTTAATCAGCGAATTCGGCTAAAATTTAAACAAGATGAGTTAACATAAATTAATTAATGAGCTTTTTAATCTTAACGAAGTAAAAAATAATTAAATTAATTATAAACTAATTGATTTAATTACAAAACTAATTAACTCTAAATTATAACTATAACTTAAAGTAAATTAATAAAATATTTAACTAAAATGTAAAATCTTTTGTGACAATTTTTCAAATATTTATAAG